GGCTCGGTGGCGGAGCCGAGCCGAACTTCGGCTGCTGAAGCGGGAGGTGACGAGGTCTCAGCTTTTCGACCAGGGACGCGCATTTTGAGCAGCGGGGAGTGTGTGCTGGCAGAGGAGACGCCGAGGCTCTGTTGTGTAGCAGGTTCATAGTGGTGTTGGCACCTGAAGCTAGATTTTAGTAAGGAGTGAAACGTCCTCCCAAGTGGAGGCTGGTAGTGGCAGGGGGGGTGGGAGGGCTTTTGGCTCTCGCTTTATATAAAGGGCAGAAGTACAGTCTTTGTTATATGGAGGCAGTACAGTATAGATTATGAGATTATATTTTTTAGGTTTCTCTAGGTGGGTCGTGGTTTCTTCTAAGTCCCTTGACTGGTGTGTATGGCTGTAAAATTGTATCAGAATAAGTGTGAAGCTGTTAGGTAGTCCTGAAAGGAAACTGTACCTAGAAGGTATTATAACGGTATAAATAATGCAGCTATTTATACCTTGAAAATTATGTCCTGTGGCCACAGGCAGGCAAACAGTTGAATTTTGCTTGCTTACTTTCTTCTGCTCCTGGTTTACTTTGATGCCAAGAATTTAACTAGACAAAGGCAGCTGTCCATTGCAGTTGTCATACTAGTGGAACATAAGTTTAGTACTTGGAATTTGGAATTTCTTAATTAAAATAATTATTTCTCTGTACACTATAGTAGTTTGCTTTTGGTGTGTTTGACTTCTGACAAGCATCTGCAGCCAAATATCTCTTTTTCTGACTCTTCCTGAATAGGAAGATAGCCACCTAGAGATTACATTAAAATGTCTCCAGGTCCCATGTAAAGTTCTTCTACTAAATTTCAATTCTGGGAAGACAAGTGCGGTATTCTTATGTGCCCTCAATTTGTAGCAGATTGCTTGATTATTGTGTTCCAGTTTTATTGCTCTTGAGAATCAAGGATTTCGTTGCTGTTCAGTTTTCTGTTACTAACCTTGCTTTGCAGAGGTTAACCAAAAGTGAAGGTGAGGTATTTTTATTCCTGACTTCGACACTTCGTGACCGAATTAGTATTGTCTGCCTTTGGGAGGCTCAGAAGTCTTGCTATAACTTTATTAAGACAAAGGATTTAGTTGGCCGCTTTTTTAATGCGTAGCCTGTGTAACAGAACATCTTCAACAGTTAAGCTGGAAGAGTAAGACCTAGCCTAAACTTATTTTAGAAGTGTTCTTTAGATTCTCTGAAGGGCTGGTTGTACACATGTTGTTGCTAGTTAGTACACAGTATTGGGTTTCATCACAGCCTTGTTCTGGAAACTCCTTCTAAAGATAAGCATACAGACTTTAAATGACTGTTGCTAATACTTCAGGAATTTTTGTTCTGTTTGACAAATGTACTATGAGAGTAGGAATGGCTAATAGTGGAATCAGTATCAAAATGATGCAAGATCAATGTTACTGAAAAAATGTGACACTTATGCTGGAGTCGGGGAAAAAATAAGCCATGTTATTTGCCAGAACTGTTTAGTAGATACAAACTTGGTCTTGCTTACTCTGTGTATCTCTGTCAGTGCTCATAGGTTGGTACTAAAGGGCTTTTTTGGCTGTCAAGTTGAATTTGGTCATAACCTGCATATGCAGCTCCGTGTCCAACAAGTACGTTATTTCTCAGTATTAGTATGATGACACTCTTTTTTTCTCTTAAAGGTTCATAATGATGTTACTTAACAATACAATTGCAGTATTGAATGGTGTATTAATATCCGTATAACCCTCTTTAAGAATGCTGATTTAACTTTTAGGGGACGGAGTGAGCAGACATACTTGAATTCTATAATGCTGTAATTGATTTTGGTGACATGCCAGCTCCTAATGCAGTTCTTGGTTTTATTTACAGCATCGAGATGACTCAGGAGACAAACCAGACCCCAGGGCCCATGCTGTGTAGTACAGGATGTGGATTTTATGGAAATCCTAGGACAAATGGGATGTGTTCTGTTTGCTACAAAGAGCATCTTCAGCGACAGCAAAATAGTGATAGAATTAGCCCAATGGGTAAGGGTGTGGTTTTTCTATTTTTTTTTTTACTACTTCATATTCTCTCTCTTTTATTTTTAAAGAAGAATCCCAGAACACTTTTCAGGAGAGCCTCTGAAGGCTCTATACTGAAAAAGAATGAATATGAAAGAATACTGTGATTTAAAACAGTGAAGATAAAAATACATTTTTGTGTAATGTGTTCTGGTCTGTTTGGCATTCAGCCATAATATGCTTTCCCACTTAGTCTCCTGTGTTAGCATATTTTTATACAAACTCTATATTTTGGTTGTTAACAATATAGCCTGTGTTTAAGTAAGAAGTAATATGCAGTAGCAGTGAAGATTGTGTGCAGACAGTTCATAGTCATGTACAAGACTATTTGACTAACATTCTACAATTCATTCATAAATAACTTGTAAAATTCTTGTTATATAGGAACAGCCAGTGGTTCAAATAGTCCTACCTCAGACTCTGCATCTCTACAGAGAGCAGACTCTAGCAACTGTGAAGGTGCTGCTGGCAGCACATCTGAAAAATCAAGGTAAGATGAAGGTATTACTTGGAGGTTTGAATGAGCCCTGAGTATGCAGCAAGTTGAAGCCCTGCAGCAATCCTGCCCTGTTGCAGTGAGTTTCTGCAGAAGAAGCAGAACTGTCTACCTGAGAGTGCTTTATGAATCTGTGTAAATGAGAACTGTTTAAAATGTTTGGTCTTGGATTGGTACATTTAAAGGATGCTTTTGATTTATCTGGAGAAGTATTTGCTACAGGGGAGTTAGTCAGAAATATGTTTTCAGAATAGTAGAAGCAGAGGTCAGAAACGTGTATCTATAGTAGTTGAACAGGTAGTTTATGGATGGATTTGAACAATTAAAGTTTTTATTATGAACACAAAACTAATGTAAATTATGTATTTCACTGTACATAAACAGAAACATGCCTGTTGCCGCTTTGCCTGTAACGCAGCAAATGACAGAAATGAGCATTTCAAGGGAGGAAGAAGTACCACTGGAAACAGAGACTGAACCAGGTATGTCTGTGGAGTTGCACTGGGTGCGCCTGGTGACTTAATGAAAGCTGACAGTTGACTTTCAAAGTGGGAATCTTCTGTAGTGGTGATAGTTTTAAGGAACTCTTAAGATGTTAAAGTGTTTTGAGTACTGGTGTCAGATTCAAGAAAAAGACTGATGCCACAATATAGTTTTAAGATGCATGTTCAGTGTTAATAAAAAATTGAACGTCAGGGTGGTTTTCACTCCTAAATCTTCTTCGTTTTTAAAAGTAAAGCATTCTAAAATTGCATTTCAGCAAGGTATTCAGTTTTGAAGTCAAAATGTTGACTTTTCTATG